AAGGTGGGCAGGGGTGGATCACCTGAGCTCAGGAGTTCAAGACCAGCCTGGGAAACATGGTGAACCTCCATCTCTAGTAAAAAATCCAAAATTAGCCAGGCATGGTGGTGCATGCCTGTGGTCCTAGCTACTTGGGAGGCTGAGGCAAGAGAATCGCTTGAGCCTAGGAGACAGAGGTTGCAGTGAGCTAAGACAGTGCCACTGCACTCCAGCCTGGGTGACAGAATAAGTCTCCATCTTAAAAGTTTACCTGTGTAACAAACCTGCATGTTCTGCACATGAAAAATGGAATCTAAAATAAAAAAAAAAAAAAAAAAAAAGGATGCTCATATTATTGAATGGAAAAAAAAGTTGAAAACTGGTTTTATACTACAATCCCATATTCTTATGGGATTGCAAGTAATTATTTTTGCTAATCTATAGTCTTCTGATTTTTTTCTTCATAAACATCTACCACCAACTTGTCCAATGAAAATAAAACAAAATAATTTGAATACCAAAAACAAGACTTTATCAATGAAGATTTCATCTATACCATCTCAAGGAATCTTAAGGGAGGCATCCCTCAAATATTGAACTTTTCTGCTGTTTCCAGCCTGTGTGACTGCTGCATGTCTCACTGTAAGGCATAACATTGCCATTAGGATTTATGAAAGAAATGGAAAAATAGCACAAAGTCAAGAGAGAAGGAAAGTGAGGAAAACAGAAAGAAAAATCCTACTGTCCTTCAGGACTCATCTCAGATGTCTCCTCCAAGAAATGTTCAGAGTCATGGTCTTTCAGTGGGTTGTTTTTGGTTTTGTTTCTGTTTTTGAGACAGGGTTTCACTCACTCCTGTCACCCAGGCTGGAGTGCAATGGCGCAATCTTGACTCACTGCAGCCTTGACCCTCAGGGCTCAAGGGATCCTCCTGCCTTACCCTCCCAAGTAGCTGGGACTACAGGCACGCACCACTGTGGCCAGGTAATTTTCTGTATTTTTGGTAGAGACAAGTTTCACTATTTTACCAGGCTGGTCTCAAACTCCTGGACTCAAACGATCTGCCCTCCTCAGCCTCCCCAAGTGTTGGAATTACAGGCATGAGCCCCCGTGCCCAGCCAGTCTTTCAACGTCTTAACAATGAAAGCAGCCCAAGAAATTGTCAGGTGTAATCATGTCCATTCATCCTATCTCCAGTCACTCATGAATTCATCTGGGCAGCAGGTGATGAGCTAGGTGCTGGCTACAGGGTGGTGAGAGAGAGACTTGCTCCCTACTTCCCAAAGGTGAGCCATAAGGAAGCAGAGGCCCAGGGAGGTTCCTCTGGGCAGGGCCAGCCCCGTGGGCATGCAGCCTGTGCTGAGGAGGGCCTCACACTTGATTACAAGCTCTGCTCTCACCATCTTGAAATGTTTCACTTTTGAACAAAGAGCCCTGCCTTTCATTTTTGAACTGAGCCCTGTAAATTATGTAACCTGTCCTGGGAGGGTGAACCCCAAGGTCTTGTCAGTGCATCAGTGACTGAGCCTTGAGTAAAACTTCCCGTTCTCCAGTCTCAGTCCCCACCATTTCTCTTAAACCTGGATCCCCAGGGAAACGGGAGGGCTTTTGCCTTCCAGCCCTATATAGGGCTTCATTTCTTCCTTTCTCATGGAACTTCCCATATTTGGCATAAACTCCTGGATATCTGTGTGTAGTCTTATCCCTCATTTCCTCTCCCCAGCAGATTGTAAATTCCATGAGGTCGTGCCTTGTGTCTGCTCATCTCAAACAGTGCTTAGTCCTGTGTTTTACACACTGTTTAAAATATGCTTAAGTTTAATTTAATCTTATTAGTAACTCCTCGTTTTCTCTTCATGTGTATCAGATTATTCCCAGCAGTCCTTCCGCTGTTGGAGAGAAATAAAGATATCAGGCAGAGAGTTGTGCACACAAACCAGGATCGTAAACATGCTGTGGGAAGCATCCCCCAAGCAGGTCGTAAGTGTGAGGAATTAGGAAAGGAGGGAGCAGGATTTTTCAGAGGACAGTCCAGAGTCATCGGCCTTTACTTCATCTACAGAGCCACACAGACTGGGAGAGAGGGAAATAACCTGGAGACTCTGGGGCTGGCAGTAGCATAGCGGTTAAGGCTGTGGGCTCCAGAGACACCTGGCAAAACCCTGGCTCCAGTGCCTAGTGTACAGTCTTCTCTCATCTCTAACCTGGAGAAAACAAAACCCTCTGTAGGTTTACTTGCAAGCTAAAGAGCAAATCATGCTTAGGCATTGCCTGACACACATAGGCATCAGTAAGTGAATATTATTTTAACATTACTAGGAGGCAGTGTTGAGAAAGATGCCTTCTTAGAATACGTTGGTTTTGGTTAGTTGTTTTTCCAGTTACCCAAAATACTGACCATAGTCATTTTCAGAGATACCATGCTGGAGAACACCAGGAGAAAAGAAGAAAATCAAGTGAGAGAAAGGGATTTATGAATCAAAGAGTTTTGCTGCTGTATCACCAAAAACCCCTTGATGATTTTTGTCTAATGCCTCTGTAGTATCTTACAGAAAAGTAAAGCAAGAAAGAGCAAAACTCCTTAAATAACTGATTGTCTTGTTTCTTACTGATTAATTACTGAGCAAAAAGCAAATCTATACACGTGTGCCTCGGGGCACAGACCTGATTTGAAGATGATGGAATGCCTGAGCCAAGAATTCCACATTCCTTAGAGGTCAATGCTAGTGGATGATGCTTTAGGGACATTTGGTGAAATGGTGGAGGTCGGTCAAAAGAAGTCTATGGGGCCAGGTAGAAAACCAGAGGTTAAGTAGGGATTGCTGTGCCTGGAAAGCAGGGCTGGGATGAGTATGAGTAACCCCAGGACTCTAGTCGGAGAGCCCCTGTTTATCAATCTATAAACACTTGCTATGGC